CCAGTTGTAGAGATGTCTGTCTTGTTGTTCAACTTCAGATTTTACTCTCAATCCCTTGCTTAAAGTGTTACTTGATACCAAAAGCAGTTTATTTTGTAAATTTTGGTCCCATCTGGTGGAAAATGGTAGAAAAAGCAGGTTATTTTTAGGCTACTTGGTCTATTGACACCTCTCAGTCAAACCAAAGGATTTCATGGTGTTCATCTGTTGTATATAGTCTACAAACCACACCTGCTAAGCACTCTGTTACACACTCAAATGTATTTATGCCCCAAAATGCTGACTTTAAATAATTTGATAACATGTAAATTTCCCACGTAACTTTGTACGTGAGCACAAAAGATAATTAACTCGATTGCTAGAGCTGAGTGTATACCAAGCATTTTTTCCCTTAATGATTAATTATTTGAATAAATACACCTTTGATTTTATATATTTGAGTTGCATTTTACTCAAAATCATTGCTTCATGTCATGTTTTTGAGGTGTAGATCCTTGTTTTCAAACTTTCTACTGCCTGTCCTCCAAAGGCTTTTCTGTTATTATAAATTATAGGATAGTCTAGTGGTAAGCTTAGACAGCCCTTATGCGAATTATTTTTCTCCCTAGGGAAGAAGAGAGGTTTGCATTTGCCTTTCTAAGTGACTTGATAGACTGAATCAGGACTGAAACAGTTTTCCAGTTGAGTTTGAGTCTACTTTAATAGAGATAGAAAACCACTCTGCTTGAATACATTATAATAAGTCTGTACACTGTAATACAGCTCTCTGTAATTGACTCCTTGAGTAAATCTCCTTGACAGTCCTGTATTATTTTTTCCAATTCAGTGTGTTTCTAATTCACTTTACTACCGTGACATGAAGTCAGGAGCTTCTACAAAGAGCATTGTGGATTAACTCTAAGTGACAGGAAAGTATCTCTGTCTCAGTGATTTTCAGCACCCTGAGGGGAACAGAGCCCGTGTGTGACATCTGTCCTCCACGCTGGTTTCTCACGTCTGTGTCAATTGTTGCTCTTTTAAGTGTG